CTTCAGAAGCTTGTCTTTCACTTAATGACAATAGCATTTTTTGTTGTTTGCGTTCAACTGCAATTTGCATTTTACTAATTTATTGCACCGACACATATATAGCGGAGGCACCCAGCAACAGCATTAACCCCGCGATCGCCGGCACTGCGACGATCAGGGGTTAATTTTAACGTGTGATGGACGAGGTCCATCACTCGTCATTAACTCTTTCACCTGAGTGACGGACCTCGTCCGTCACTCGTCCTTAAGGGGTTAAAGAACCTTGCCTATTGGCTGCGTGACACTGTAGGTGCAATAGAAATGATATTGTTACAGACACTGAGCTTATTGTGTGTGGATTCGATGACAAGCATCTGGGTATTTCAATTTAAAGGCCCAAGTGGACAATTTTCTCCAAGTTACGTATACCTTCAGTTCAGTTGAGTTGGACTTGATTTTAAAATTTACTTTAAATCCTGGACAATTTTCCCTCACATATTGAGCGAAAGGTTCCAAGGATAAGGAATAAAGCATTGGGGCCAGGGGGCAACCACGCCTTGTATCATTAAAAAACTTTAACCCCTTAAGGACGGAGCCAAATGTACACGTTGTGAACGAAACAAAATGTAAACAAAACCTGGCATTTGCGCTACATGTCTGTCCAACCGTAACTCACCTCTTTCATATTAAATGCACCCACCCTTATTATATATCATTTTATTCAGGGGAAGCAGGGCTTTCATTTAATATCAAATATTTAGCTATGAAACATAATTTAATATGAAATAAATGGGAGAAAATAAGATTTTATTTTTATTTTTTTAGCTCTACATGACATTTTAACGGTCAATGTCATAATACTGTTTGCTTTTACTGCAATAAAATACACATATTTTTATTCAGCAAAGTCTCACGTGTAAAACAGTACCCCCTATGTACAGGTTTTATGGTGTTTTTGTGAAGTTACAGGGTCAAATATAGCACGTTACATTTGAAATTGAAATTCGCCAGATTGGTTACGTTGCCTTTGGGACTTAATAGTAGTCCAGGAATGAAATTTACACCCATAATGGCATACCATTTGCAATAGTAGACAACCCAAGGTATTGCAAATGGGGTATATCCAGTCTTTTTTAGTAGCCATTTGGTCACAACCACTGGCCAAAGTTAGCGTTAGTATTTGTTTGTGTGTGAAAAATGCAAAAAACGCCAATTTTGGGCAGTGTTTGTGACTAAGTGGCTACTAAAACAAACTGGACATACCCCGTTTGCAATACTTTGGGTTGTCTACTATTGCAAATGGTATGCCATCATAGGGGTAATTTTCATTCTTGGGCTACCATAGGGTCTCAAAGGCAACGTACCCAATCTGGCAAATTTTAATGTGAAAAAAATGAAACACAAGCCTTATATTTGACGCTGTAACTTTTGAAAACACCATAAAACCTGTACATGAGGGGTACTGTTGTACTCAGGAGACTTCGCTGACCACAAATATTTGTGTTTCAAAACAGTAAAAAGTATCGCAGCAATAATATCATCCGTGTAAGTGCTGTTTGTGCGTGAAAAATGCAAAAAACTTCACTTTTATTGGTGATATCATAGTTGTAATACATTTTACTGTTTTGAAACACTAATATTTTTGTTCAGCAAAGTCCCCTGATTAGAACAGTACCCCCCATGTACAGGTTTTGTGGTGTCTTGGAAAGTTATAGGGTTAAATATAATGCTAGCAAATTAAATTCCCTTAACTTTCGGCATGGGTTGTCAGGCAGGTCCCGCTAATTTCGGCATGGGTTGTCAGGCAGGTCCCGCTAATTCTAATTAATTAAGATACCCAATTATGTAAAAATATTACATAAATATATATGTAGAATTAATATATGTATATATATATACGTATGTGAATATATATGTATGTATATATATATATATATATATAATTTTTTTTAAATATTTTTATTTATATATAGGTATATATATAGTGATATATACGTATATATTTATGTATATAGATATATATATTATTTTGTTCTACGTGTATTTTGATATAAATATATATATATTAATATCACAATACAGTTAGAACGAAATAACACATATCTATATATTTTTTAATTATTTTTTATTATTTTTTTATTTTATTTTTTAACGTATTTACATATTTAATTTTTTTATATTATATATAAATATATATATAACAATAATTATATATATATTTAATCAGTATGAGTCTACGTGTAATTTGATATTAATATATATATATATATAATTATATATATATTAATAGTAAAATACACCTAGACAGTGTACGTGTGTGTATGTATATATATATATGATCTAAGTATATATTATTATTTTTTTTACACTATTTAATTTATTTGATTTTATTTCCAGCCAGCAGGGGGACCACCTGTCATTACAGGCAGCCCCCCTGCTGGCAATGCTGCAGCCAGCTATCCCGGCCATGTGATTGTGAGATCCTCGCGTTTAGAGCCGCCTATAATAGGGCGTAATAGTACGCCCTCCGGTCTTAAGGGGTTAAACCAAGGAGACTTTATCCCCGAGAATACAATACGTGCACTTGGTGATTTATAGTGCCCATATGGCTTTCAACAATTGATCTCTAATTCCAAATTTTTTTAATGTTTCTTCCATGTAGGCACCGCTGACCCTGTCGAAGGCCTTTTTGGCATCCAACGACAGGGCTAGCATGGTACCACCCCTGGACTCAATATACTGCATTACATTTATATATTTTCTTATGTTATCTTCTGCAGTTCTACCTGGTATAAATCCTGTTTGATCTTGGTATTAATTTTTTCAACCTATTGGCCAATATGGCTGAATAGATCTTGGTGTCCACATTGATTAGTGAAATAGGTCTAATCAACGTGTCCTATCTTTCCCTGGTTTTAAAATTGGAGAGATGTTAGCTGCCAGTATGTCGTTTGGCCTTTCCCCCTTCTCAATAATATCAATAAAAGCATCCATTAGATGATTTCCTATTTGATTTTTAAAGATTTTTAAAGATAGATACTTGGTTATTGTCATTTCTTCTTTAAGATTTCCTGTTAAACATGCCTCAATTTCAATAAGGACTCGTTCAGTCTCCATTCCTTTTTTACCACCTTTTTATTTGCCTTTATATTAAAAAAAGCTGATGCATGATCTGACCAGAAGGCTGTGAAGATTTTACAACTCAAATCTTCCTCAAATAGAGAATTTTTAACCAAAAAGAGGTCTATACATGAATAAGAAAGGAAGGGGATAGAGTAAAATATGTAATCCTTCTTCTCTGGATTTAATGTTCTCCAAGCATCCAGAAGGCTATGTTTCATTAGAAAATCTTTAAATATTTTTGCTACTGTTCTGTGCTTACTATTTAAATTTTTCAATTTTTTGATATTTTTTAGCCATATCCACATCACTGATTAGGTTAAAGTCACCTCCTATTACTAATTTACCTTATGAAATTTTATTTACTTATGTTATTTATACATCAAATTTTTTTATTGAATTATCATTTGGGGCGTAAACATTAACAAAGTCTTCCTAGAAACTTTTACTTTACCCTTTCTCCTCCTGTCCACAAGTCCTACACAACCATGCCCCCTATACTACCATCCATCAGACCTCTGTCTCCTAACACACTCATACCATTCATACATTTGGATAATCTGTGACCTTAACCCTACCTTGATTAACACACCCATCTATCCAAATCTTCTGCAGTTAACTAAGTTCCTATTTGAAGCTGACAAGTATAGGTATTTAAGCAGGAGATTAGGTATAAATGGGAATGACTAAAATATATATATATATAAAAAAAGAAAGAACATGAAGGACTCCTCCTACATTATGTTTAGGATTTTAGGATTTTCTGTTGGTGAAGAGACCAAACTTTCTAACTCTTGGAGTCTGGAGCTGAGATTCAATTTTTTTTAGCAGTTGAAGGCCTTGTTCCTTAGAATGTATAGCATTTTTTTTTCTTCTGTATATGTCAGCAATATTTTAGCTGGATATACCCAGGCAAATCTGATATTTTCTTTTTCTAGGATATCTGTGACAGGTTTTAGCTTAAGCCTCTGTTGTCTAGTATAGCTTGAAAGATCATTTAAAAATCTAAATTTCTTACATTTTTCATTGTTGGGGTGATTGTTTTTTGCTTTCCAATTTTTTTCTTTGTAAATATAATTGTGAAAGCAGACGATTATATCTCTCGGGGCATGCTCAGGGACTTTTTGAGGTTGGAAGGTTCTGTGAACCCTGACCAGAATTTAT